TCCCTGCTTGTCTCCACAATAGCAACTGCCTTCCACTCACTGCCAGTAAGAAACCGCCACAACCTTGTACACTACCCCCACCCCTGCCAGTGTGCTCCTGTTAAAACAACCCTCCCCAGTATCTAAGAACCTTCTCCCAAACTGACTTCCCTTTTGTACTTGCTGTGGTCTGCCATAGTTTGCAAGTCCCAAATTGCAATTCCTCTGCTATTCCCAAATAAACTCATTTGCTGCTTGATGACCTTTGTTGTTTAATTTTTAAGATTGATAATTTTATACCTTGATCCGGTTAGTGGTTACATTGATGAATACATTAAAATTTCATAGAGCTGTATGTACCCTTAAGATTTTTTCATTTCATATAAATTATACTTCATGTAAAAAGCCAATGATGCCTCCAAAATGCATAATACAATAAATTAAAGAGGTGAATGAAATAAGAGAGGTAATTGGCATAGAAAAAGATAATGGTATGTCACCAATAAAGGATAATGATTAATTCAATTTGGGGCATCTGAGGTCTGGAAGTTATACTTGAGATTTATTATTGCAGCCTCAGATCACGGATCAGCTTTTAGTTTTACATGCCACTGTTGATTCATACTAGTTTTATCATTATCTAAAGCCCAGTCCCACATTCTTTCAGGACTCTCTGCTATATGAGTCATTTTCATGTGTCCATCGGCCAAGCCTCATCTACTCCACCCTGTACAAGTTCAGCTCCCTTCTGTTGCACCCACACCATTGTAACTCCTACAGCAGGGGGCGCCCTGATCATTCTGTTGGCTGCGGTGTTTAGGCTCCTGAATCCTCCTACCTGGAGTTTTCATGCCCCATCTATTGCCCCATCGTACCAGTACATTTCTACAGGGCTCTCCTTGACTTCCAGTCCCAGCTTTATAAACTTAGCCCTTATCTCCTAAGTGATATTCAAAAATCAGATTGTGAGACTGAGTGTTGAATTAGATGGATTACTTGATTCATGCATGAGCTGCATACCATATTCATGTGAAAACATAAATCCAAGTGGATGGGGAACAGAGCCTGAATGTTTGGGAATGTGAGCAAATAAAAAAGGAATGACTTTTAACTATTTTCTCTACCAGATTATGGATCTTTTCTATTTTCTTACATTAAATTTATTGGGGTGACATCAGTTAACATCATACAAGTTTCAAGTGTACTGTTCTGAAACACATCATCTGTATATCGCATTGTGTGCTCACCACCCAAAGTCTGGTCTCCTCTTGTCACCACGTATTTGACCTCCTTTATCCTCTTCATCCTCCTCCAGCCCCAGACCCCTCTGTTGCCTGTGTCTGTGATCTTTAAGTCATGATTGAATTGCTTGCGCTTTCACACTGCTTCCTCTAAAGACCTTATCAGAGTCTTGATAGCTGTGCCTTTCAATAACTTACTTTAAAAAAATTGTTGAAAATGCCACTCTGGGAGAATAGGCACTATAGCAGTGATTTTCAACTGATGTGCCGCAAGAATTTTTAAAACAAGCAATACCTGACTATTTAGTCAGGGGCACTGACCTCTTTTCCTTTAGATTGTCAAATAAGAAAGTGGCAACTGCCAATACAACAATAGCCATCTTGTGTGAATGAATCAAAATTACACCTACTTTTTTGTCACATCGACAAAAAATATATTTTTTGGTGCCTCAGAATTTTGATAATTTATGTGTGCCATGAAATGCAGAAGGTTGAAAATTGCTGCTCCAGAGGAAAATTGCTAACATCTATGTTTTCCATATGTATGCTACTGTTCAGAGGTATTTCACATACTAATGATTCCTTTATATCCTCCCTTGTTCTAAAATAGTGTTTAGATAATTCAGAAAATTATATAGGCTCATACATATGTGAAAACACTTGGATAAAAAATCAGGGGGAAAGGTAATCAGAGGAGATAGGAGGCAGAAAAAAAAAATGAAGCCATGGAGTAAAGTTAGTGCCTAAAATAACTTTTCAGTTCTATATACTTTATTAGGAGTGGCCTGAAATTTTGGTTCTGAGCATCTCAGTTACCGACATATAAAAGGAAACCATTTGTTACATGATCGAAACCGCATACATTTATTAGCTGTAGGGTTAACTGTTGCATTTGTCAGCTTTTCTAAAGAGAGTTGAATTTCAGGCCTTTATTTATAACTGTAATCCCCTATCCTCTTGTTTCTTGCTGTGGAGGATATCAGACATAAAATAGTAGCATTTTACAAACCATTTTCCATTTGACCCAAGAATACTCGCCATACTCTCCAGAGGCGCTTGCAGCTGCGGTGTTTATGCCGAGATAATTCGCTGCTTACTGTCCTGACTTTACCCCCAAACCTTGCCACGAAATATCTCCCTTTATTATTATTTTCGCATCACTCTAGTATATCGATAGTCTTTGGAAATGAATGACATCATTCTATTTATAGCATTCTGTTTTTAGTAGTGGCAGTGAGTGCACTTTTTTGTCCTAATGGGAAGTGGGTTAAAGATTTAATTATTTACTGTGAGAGAGAGGGTAAGGGAGGGAGAAAGGGAAACGTCGGTTGCCTGCCCTACATGGCCTGACCAGGGACCGACCCTGCTGCCCAGACCTGTGCACTCACCGCGAATTGAACCAGAGACCTTCGCTGTGCTGCGCAACCCACTGAGAGCTGCACCAGTCAGGGCAAAAATCTAGAATGTTTAACAGGAACATAAAGCTGCCATAATTTCAAAGACTCCTGTAGCAGTTTGTCTCATTGTCTCTCTGGTGCTGGTCTGTCTATATCTGACACTAATCTCTGAGAATCTATCAGGTAGTTTTATTTTCTGGCAGCTGCCTACTTCTCAGAGAGATGGTGGAAGATATCTTTGATTAATGCGAAGTACGTCTTTATTTTTTAAAAAGAAATTTATTTATTTTTAGAGAGAGGAGAAGGTGGGGAGAAAGAAGGAGAAAAAGCAACATCAACGTGTGAGAGGAACATTGACCCATTACCTCTCACACACAGGCCCCCAACTGGGGAGTAAAGCACATCTTTAAGTTTTCATTATGAGACTGCACAGCCCATGGTTCCAGTGCCATGAAGATGAATTCCCATAACTTCTGGCTATAAAAATAAGTGGGGGCATCAGAAGAAACAGGGATTTTCAGGAAACTGCACTTAAAGGACCTACACAGACTTAAAACATACGCAAACCCACCCCTTCTGGGATTCAACATCAGGGCAAGAGGTGGAAAGGCGCCAGTCGCATATGGGAGTGGGTGAAGTGACTGGAAACAGGGTAAGAGCCAGACAAACCCCCAGAAGCCAGGCAGGCACAGTCCCCTCTCCGATCCCTCCCCCACATGGAGCCACAAAGTGGTGAAGCAGGTTGTCCCATCCTGGCGATTACCTAAGGCTCTGCTTACACAATTTACAGGGAGTTGAAGCAGCTCTACCTAATACACAGAAATAAACACAGGGAGGCTGCCAAATTGAGAAGACAAAGAAATATGGCCCAAACGAAGGAACAGAACAAAACCCTAGAAAAAGAACTAAAACAAAATGGAGATAGCCAGCCAATCAGGTGAAGAGTTCAAAACACTGATGATTGTGATGCTCAAAGAACTCTTTAAGTATGGTAACAACATAAAGGGAGAAATGAAGATTACACTAAGTGAAATAAAGAAAAATCTACAAGGAACCAACAGTGAAGAGAGGGAAGCTGGGATTCAAATCAATAATTTTGAACATAAGGAAGAAATAAACATTCAATCAGCACAGAAAGAAGCAAGAATTTTAAACAAATGAGGAGAGTATAATTCAAAAATAAGAGGCGATGTCTTGAACATTTTCAAACATGCCAACATCAGAATCAGAGGGATGCTAGAAGGGGAAGAGGAAGAGTAAGAAATTGAAAACTTTTTTGAAAAAACAATGAACGAAAACTTCCCTAATTTAGCAAAGGAAATAGACATACAAGGTCAGGAAGAACAGAGAGTCCCAAACAAGTTGGACCCAAAGAGGACCACACCAAGACACCTCATAATCAAAATGCCAAAGGTTAAAAGTGAAGGGAGAATCTTAAAAGCAGCAAGAGAAAACAGAGAGTTACCTACAATGGAGTTCCCATTAAACTATCAGCTGGTTTCTCAAAACAAACTTTGCAGGCAAGAAGGGACTGGCAAAAAATATTCAAAGTGATGAAAAGCTAGGTCCTACAACCTGGATTTCTCTATCAGCAAAACTATCATTTAAAATGGAAGAGCAGATAAAGAGCTTCCCAGACAAGGTAAAGCTAAAGGAGTTCATCATCCCCAAGCCATTATTACATGAAATGTTAAAGGGACTTACTTAAGAAAAAGAAGAAGATCAAAACTATGAACATTAAAAAGGCAACAAATTCACAACTGTCAACAACTGAATTAAAAAAATAATAAAGCAAACTAAGCAAACATCCAGAACAGGAACAGAATCATAGATGTGCAGATCATTTGGAGGATTATCAGCTGGGAGGGGGAAGGGAGCGAATGGGGGAAAAGGTGCAGGGATTAAAAAGCATAATTGATAGGTACAAAATAGACAGGGGGATGTTAAGAATAGTGCAGGAAAAGGGGATGTGAAAGAACTTAATATGTATGACCCATGGATATGAATCAAGGAGAAGGGAAGGCTGGAGGGAATGGGGGTACCAGGCAGAGGGGAGGCAAAGGGGGAAAACTTGGGAAAAGTATAACAGAATCAAAAAATATACTTAAAAATAAATTTTCATTATATGTTCTTTCTGAAGATGCTAATACCTTGAATGATTTCATCAGTAAAAGTGCCTTTTGTTTACAGTTGTGGAATGTTATTTTTCATCTATAAAATAAAGCCAATACCTGTCAGAGCAATGAAGTCTAGAGTGTCTAGGCTTAAGTATTATTTTCGGTATTGGGGTATATTTCAATTTTCTAATTGTAGATTCCTTCCTATTCAATAAAATGCTGCTATAGATAGTAATGATAACATTAATAATAGCTATTGTACTTACCCAGATTGTCTTGCAAATCTCTTCTACATAAATGAGGGGGAAACCATGTATTTCAGTGCAGAAAATGCCCAACGTCTGTGTTTTCTTCCTCCTACGATGTCAAGGAAAGACGTTTTCTTCTTTCCAGTTTTTAAGGAAGTTTATTTATACTCTGCTTCTATCGCAATGCTAGCTCTAATTGGCTCAGAAACAACAGGGTGTGTGTGTCTTGGAAATGGACATGTCAAAACTGGCAAGTATGGGGAAGGAAGTCTGTGGTCTACTTTCAGTTTCGTTTTCCTAGATCTGAGTTTATAGAAGTGACTGCTCTCTAAAAGGCATTATTATTATTACTTTGGAAGCCTTTACTCTGCCACCTTACTCTGCTACTCTGGCCTGTCTGGGTAAAATCCAAAGGTTTCAAATCTGTCTCTTGAGAGAGTTGAGGACTGCTGAGAGCCCTGTTGTTGTGGCTACAGACAAACTCTGCGACCGTTTGAGTGGATCCTCTGGGAATACCCATTTTCACTGTTGTTGGGAGCCTTGTGGAGCATCCTTAAGTTTTCCTAAAGTGTAAAGGAATGGCATTCAGACTCTTGTGAGCTCTCTGTAAGTGCTGAAGTTCTCTGAATTAGATCTGTAGGGCATATCAGTGTTGGGGTCCCTCGTGGCTACTTTGCAGGGATTTATATTTTCAAGGGCAGTCTCAGGACAAGGTAGAGAACTGACTGAGAGCCACAAAAGAGCCATCCTTTATTAGGAATAAAGAAATAATGATACTCTGCACATCAGCATTAAGAGGCTGAGGCTGCCAGGCATCACAATTTTACTACCCCCCCCCCTTTTCTGTAACAGATGAATTAGTATAACCAGTACCCATAATACCTGGCCTGATGTTAGGATGTCTAACATCATATATGAAATGTCCAGAATAGACAAATCCATAGAGACAGAGTGCTTCCCAGGGCTACGGGAAGGGGTGAATGTTGATTGATGGCTAATGGGTACAAGATTTCTTTTGAGGTGATGAATGTGTTTTAAAACTGATTGTGCTGATGGTGCTTACAATACATTAACCACCATTGAACTGTATACTTTAAATGAAAGAATTCTGTTATGTGAATTACTTCAACAAAGATGTTTAAACTTGCCTCTTAAAAGAGCTTCCTGAGTGGCAGACTCATAACTTATAGTATCCAGTTTAATCCTCATCAGGTGCTTGCAAACCAAGTTTATTTCACTCATCTTGCAAATGAGAAAACCAGGATTCTGACTTACCTGTGTGGACTGACCAGATGAGTGAGCTAATTTACCTATGAGGGTAGAGCTGGCGGTTTGTGGAGCAGGTGGACAGGAGCCCCGGACAGGCTACAGATAACCCAGGGCCAGATTCCTCCTGAGCAGGGGGTGAGGAAAGGTGTGGTAGCGTAAACACTCAATCCTACAATTTCTTTTTTCACTTTGTTTTTCCCAATGGCAATTCAAAAAGGAAAAAGAGGAAAAGGGAGGGAGAGTCGGTTAAAAATTAATTTTTAATGGACTTCCCTGAGCAGAAAGTGGACTCCAGTATCTTTCAAGCATAGATGGTGAAAGTGGGATAAACTGGAATTTAAGGCCAAGTTTTCCTGTAGGTAGAATACAAATTCACCTTTGAAGAAAGACTAGGTATTACTGGGGAGACCCAAGTTTGAGGGTCCCCCTTCTTGGTTCTTGTCTTGGCTCTCAAGAGATGAAGTCAGGCAAAGAGGCAACACATATAGTAGAGTGAGATCCCAAGTTTATTTATGAAAAACACTTGAGCAAGAAGCTGCAAGCGGTGCTGGCTAGCCTGGGCACTACAAATACGGGAATTTCAGGGGTTTTATGCTTGCGGTCAGCTTCCAATTTCCCCCGCCTCCTGCCCTCTCCAGACCTTAGGACTAATGCACAGTTTCAACTGCTACTTTCCAAGATAGTGGAAACCATGCATACAGAATTTCAAGGGCGTCTAGCAATCTTATATGACCAGGCTCAGGAATGCTGAGTTAATGAATGAGACATGTCTCCCTGCCACTCTACCTTGGTTTGCTATCTGTCCTGCCCAACATTGGCATTTGTGCTTTTTTTGGAAAAGCACTTCATGGGCTCTTTCTTTGATTCTAGAGGAGTGACGCCCAGAGTGCCTTCTGAAACGGGGAGTGGAACTTCTCTGCACAATTACGTAGGACCGTGTCCTCGCTGTGGGTGGGGTGACATCTCTGCATTTATAATGTTTTTCAGAAGAAGCATATTTTTTTCTGGGGCTCTTAGAGGGTGTGTAGCCTAATCTGTGAGTCGAGGTCCCTGTTTAAGGGTTGTCTCCTCTGGGAGAGTTGAGCCAGGCCACCCAACGTCACGGCTATTGAAGGGGCCGAGGAGACGGAGGCCCCTTGTGTAGGAGTTGCGCCTATAAACTCTGAGGCTAGTCTTGGGTAACCGGAACACGTAACAGCTTTTCTCCCTTCTCTTACAACTTTGTTTCCTCTTATGTCAAGCTCTTAGCTAAATGTTGTAAACACTGTAGCCTGGTCTTAGCTGAGTTATGACAGATTAAGGGACTGACCCATGAGGACTTCCGGAGTGTAGCCACGTGGAAGAGCCTGGTACCAGATGCACGGGTGCCTGCAGAAGAGGGAAGCAGCAGTTTGGAGCCGGATCAGCAGCCGATGTGGCTTCTAGCACCAGGGACACGTTCATGGTCCCTGTGAGTATTGCCCAGAGGGTCATAGAAACTGGTGAAAGGAACACTGCTAGGAAGAAGGCATCTTGATGACAAGAGGAATTGGGCTCGAAGCCTGGAATTTCTAAGTTACGTTCTAGGGAGATGTAAAGTAGTGGATAAGTAAATATGTATTTATTAATTATTCAATCTAGGTTAGCCTGTGTTTCACCTCATGGGGTACAGATATCTCCTAAAATCCAAGCCCTGGCATGCTGTTCGAGGCCGTTCTGACTGGTGTAAGTTGGGAACAAGCTTCTGGGATGGCATTCCCGGCGCTGGCAAGTTGCGAGCACATATCGCCAGGAGGAAGTCGTCTCATCAGGCAGGGGTTAGAGGGGTCAGTGAGGACTTCCTGGTGCTTGGTTACTCGAACTGAATTGTGATGGAGAAATCAGAAGAGTCATATGCTGAAAATGTTGGATGAAAATAAGGGAATATTTGACAGAACAGCATTCACAAATAGCACATGTGGAGAAGTAGAGAGAGAAAAGAGGAGAGCAAAGGAAAGCAGCCAGAGAGGTGGGATCTGAAGAACAGGTGGAGATGAGACCGTGTTGACAGGTGGCGAGAATGGACAAAGGAACCGCTTCATGTGTAAAGGGAGCAAGAGGATGGATGGGGAGCTCAAGCTCGTGGCTACTTGGTTGTCTTTTTTCTCCTCCCAACTCAAAGCAAGGAATTGAGAGAAGGGCAAGGGCTACGAGGAATTGTGTGTGTGTATGTGTGTATGGAGGGGTAGGTGGAGGATGGGAACAAAATATTTACCTTCCACATAATACATGCGTATCGACACCAAGGCGAGGTAGGCGGCGCTCTGTGTGGATCTCTGGTGGAGTTCAGTAGCTAAGGGGGGGCTTTTCCTCCCTGGTTCTCTTACTTACGTCTCTGCTTCCACAGTGACGGAATAATTCATAACTCAGAAAACACATCAGAGTGATAGAATTAAGACAGCATTTATTGCCCTATAAACAATAATGACATGACCAGTGGATATCAACTGAAACCTCTTAATTAAATATGTTAGTCTGAAAGCGCATCTTTAAAACATTGAAAGCAGACTCTACTGTTGCCAAGCTCTGCTGTGTAGCCATGTTTCATGCCCTACCAAGGCTTATAGTTTATTTGGGGAGATAAAACCAAAATCCGTGAGAGACGTAAGCCAATAATGTCATCACAATGCCATGGCACTAGAGGGAATAAGATCAGAGATAGATATGAATAAAAACATATTATGCCTTCTTACATCCTTCTATACCATATGCTAGAGGGCCTTCAATGGAAAACCCTAGGTAGAACGATACTCTTTCTATGTTGCCACCACTTCTGAGTGGACCCGAGTAAACGGATGTTACTGGTATTTTTATTTTTTTCTTTGTTCCATATTCGATAGAGATTTTCTTGCCTTCAGCCAGGCCAGTGAGAGGACGCAAGAGATCTTTGACTTCTGCGTTTTTCCACACGTCTCCACTCTGCCAGAAGGAATTTATATTTTTTTCTTTACTGAAGTACTGCTCTATCTCGGCTTTGTGAACAAGGCTGTTGAGACCCTTCCTCTTCCCCAGGTAGAAAAGTGTGCTTGCCTGCTTGGACCTGCACATTCTCCTGTACTGTCTATTGAAGGATCTACTTAAGCATGAAACGTACTTTTCCATTAGTTCAGCATCTTCATCTAGCTCTTCATTTTCTGGCCAGAACAGGAGGCAAGCCAAGAAATAAGGATCTGGACATAGATGGTTTAGTTCTACGGATTGTAACACTTCTCGAAGCAGTTTTTTAAGCGTGTTAAGTGGCTTAATGAACTTGGAGTTGGGTTTTAGACAATTGAGAATAATGTTGGCCAAAATAAAATTTTGTTTTTCCTTTGCCAGCCGTTTATTTGGATTTTGCAGCAAGAGGGAAGTGTATTGGTCCACTATGTTTTCCATAGTGTTTGCGGCATCGTCCTGATTTGGGTTAAGATATTCCAGAAGTCCAGAAAACCTGTCTGCTCTCAAGGCTTCTAGGGTTTTCCAGCGATTCTCCTCTAGCAGTAATTGACTCTCTCTGCTCGCTAATGGACCCGAATCCAACAGGCAGAAAATTTCCTTGTATTTACTGAAACAACGACTGATTTTCTTGCTTAATAAGATTTCCACTGTTTCTTTTAGCATATTCCTTGTTTTTAAAAGAACTAAATAATCAGTAAAAAAGTCAAAGCACTTTTTCATATCTGACTGTAAATTTTGTAAGTAGGATGTGAACTTGTTAAGAGCCAAATAATATTCACTTTTTGGGTCTGTAGGAATATTTCCCTTCCCAGATAAAAATTCTGCCATAGGCTTTTTAGATGATTCCTTTTCTTTGTGGAAACAGGGGGTGAGCTGAAGAATCTGAATAGTGTAAAGACCAACTTCTATTTCACCCAAGAAGCCAGCCGTATTATACATGTCGTATTTTCTCTGGGACTTCTGTGGTGACCAGGTCTCTGTTTCAGAATCTTTCCCATCAGTTTGCTCTTGGGATTTTTTGAAAGCTCTTGCTGCATTTTCAGTAGCTTCCAGGAAATGTGTTAGATCCTCAACAGTGATAGCCCTACAGGTTTTGTTTTTATCCAACCACCATTTGATTTCACTTTTGTAGACCTGACCAAGAGTATCTGAGATATAGGAATTTTTAGGTGCTCTCTCCTTGGCCTCATTGGCCCAACAGAGAGCAGTGTTAAAGTCTTTCTCTTTAATGTAGAAATGTCTTGCTAGGGCCTGACAAATAAATGCATTTTGAGGGAACCGAACACTTCCTTGTTTCAAGACCCTTTCCACTTCGTCATTCTGTAGAGCTTCAACTAACGGCGAAAACAGAGTGTCTGTTTCATCTCCATACTCTCTGCGCTGTCTCGTAAGCAGAAGGGTTTGCACGTATTGTTGAAATTTGTCTCTTCCTATTCCAGAAGTATAGAATAAATTCTCTTTTAATAACATCAAGGCAATTTGACACTTACCCAAGTGATAGCTTTCTTCCAGCTCTTTTAGGCAGCAACTGGCAATCAGAGGGTGAATGATGCGCACGCCTGCACATCCCCCATATTCGGCCACTTCTGTGTTTATTAGAAGAGTCGAGTAGGTTCCCATCTTGTCTTCTATGCTCTCAGGCTTCCAGGGCGTATGAATGCATGGGATTCCCAAAAATGTTTCACACTGTGAGACTGAAATTGTAAAATCAGTAACATAAGAGTTGAGTAGAGCCAGGAAAGAAATGAGTTGGGTTTCTTTGCTGTTGGCATCCTGTCCTTTTAGGATATTCTTGACTACATTTTCTATATACGATTTCTTAAAGTTTTCTTTCAAGATCATGAAGGAATAAAAGTTTTCACAGTTCTTATGTTGCTTTTCAATTTCCTCCAGTTTGGCCTCAAAAGCTCTTTGTTCCTTGGGAGAAAGCTGGTGTTTTAGTGCAATGCTGTCTGCTAGTTTTGCACTTTGATCAGGATTCTGGGATCTCATGCAGTTTAAGATAATGACCAGTGTTTTTTCGTATCTCAAACCGTGCGCTACTAAAGTAGATTGGATAGTGTCCTGTAGAATGTAGACGTTTTCCTGATCTTCAAAATCATCCACCAGGAGAAGTACCGGAATGTAATCCTGATGGCTGGTTGCCTTATAGGTAATCAGCTTGAACACTTGCTCTGCAGTTTCTGCAAAATCAGTTCCTTTGTTTTTTAGCACGGCACACCTGAAGTGTTTCTTTAGGTCCCAGAGAACATTCATAGCCAATGTGGTACCCCCACAGCCTGGATGGTGGTAAAGATTGATAATTTTTACAAATACTGGTTTAGGAGACTCTGCCGTACGCTCTATCAGCTCTTTAAGGTTTCCATAATTGTCTCTTTTGACAAAGGCCGAAGAGTAGTTTTCAGAAGAAAAATAGAAGTTCCACCAGCATACTTTGCCACCTCGATAAAAGTGCTCTTCTTTTGTTTTCTTAAATTGTTGGAACTTAGATTCGTTTTTCTCAATATCTGTGTCTTTACACTCATTTTCACAGAGAATTTCCAGTGCGGTCAAGATATCCTCTTCTTTCTTCTCTAAGATGATGGAAGATGATCCACGGGAGGGCAGAAACCTTCTTGGTGACTGAGTGACTGGTTTCAGTTTAAGGATAGTGCTGTTTATCAAATCTAAATTTAAAGTGGAAACACTGTGTCCTGTTAATTCATCTGCAATTGTCAGTCTGGCTTGTAGTAGATCTTTCCATCGTTGATAAATCTGTGAGTTTACACAGATACACAATACACTTTCCATTCCTTTGAGAGCTTGGTAGGAAGCGCAGAAGGTTTCAATGAGTGGATCTCCTGGGCTTTGCACCGGAGAGAGTAATAGAAACACTACCAGAAACTTCCCTTTTGTCATGAGATTTTCATCTGTGAGAAACAAAATCAGTTGTCTGACTCCAGACGCTCTTTCCCTCTGCCATAAATGTGGTTCTTGAGGCTTGTAGCTCTCATCTTTCAAGTCTGATCTGCCATTGCAGAAGATCCAGCTGGGCTGATCATAAAGATTCAGAAGAGAAATTTTCTCCCTTGTGGTAGTTGTCTTTTCCTCATATTGACTTGGGAAGTGAAGATTTGCTACGCGGTCTTTCTGGTAAGCTTTGGCTACCCCCTTGCTCTCGGATTCAGGATCAAAGTCCAACACAGCAAACCATTTAATTTCCTTTAGAAACTCTAGGTTCTTTGTTTGGCTTGGATGGCATTTATTAGTTACAAGAATATACCAATTGTAGTATGAATTATCCAGTGACTCTCGGTTTCCTATGAGAAGTTATACCAGCTTATGACCTTCACTCTCTTTCTTATTTTCCCTTGCCTCAAATTTTTCTTCAGCCTCTTTTCTGGATGCTGCTAGCGACTTTAGTGTTTTAGAAAATGCTTTCAATTTTATATCCCGTTTCTTGACATTGGCCCAGATATCCTTAGAGCTAGCCCCCTCCCTCACAAACAATGAAAGTTCTTCACTTTGCTTCCATGTTCCATTGTCACAGAGATGCATCATAATGTAGAAACACTTTTCTTTACACACAGAGTGTTTTGGAATGACATCTACTTCAATGACAAATCTGTCAGATGGTGTGTTGTCCTGCAGGAGGACTTCCACAAACCTTGGCTCCCGAATGCACTTCCTGGCTTCATTGATCTCACTGTCTTCAAAATACTTTGTGATCATTTCATTGAAGTGGTTAATGAAGCCATCTTTGCTGGTGACTGTCACTCCAACAATTTCTCCATGGGGTTTGTCCTTGACCCCAAAATGGATGGTGCCATTGGTGCGCGAATTCATACAAGCTGATGCGAATCGGAAGACTTCGTTGCTAAATTTCATCCTAATGTCCTTTTCTGTGGCCGTGCCTGGGTTGGTGAGGGCTTTGTACTCATGAGTTGGGTCTATGAGATTGCCTGGTCCTGTTTCAGGTGGTAGAAGGTAATGTTCTATGTAGTGATGGCTGCTCTGGGGCTGATCAAAAGGATGTGGCATGCAAGTCAACTGTTCAGGTTTTCGCTTATTATTTTTTTTGTCTTCAGCGGTTGCTACTTCATTCGAAGCACTTTCTTTCAGAAGAACTGACTGTGGTTCTGTGGAATCTCTGGTCTTGCTGAGATTATGATCAATATTGGATGACGCTGACTTTTGCTCTTCTTTTCTTGTCCGTTGCGTCTTTTCATGGTGTCCTTTTTTGGAGGGTTTTGTATGATCCAATAGTCCAGAATTCTGAGCGTGATTATCCGGGAAACCATGATTCAATCTGTCAAATGCTCGTTTTATCAGAAGTGCTGGGCCCCGTGGTAGTCCCATGTCTCTAAGATCCTTTTCAGTTGATTCTGACAGGACTAATCCTGTCACTTCTTCTACGAACAGCATCTGTCCATATTTTTCATCAATGTTAAGGTCTTTGGTCACCCATTGTTTCACGTGCTCTTTGTTCCAGTCTTTGGTCGCTTCAGGTAGATTTACTTGTTCACTCATATCACAGCTGCAACCTTCTTCCTTGGAAAAAGTAATACGGTAAGTATTTAATATGATACTTCCTCATTAAAATCACAGTCAATTATATATATATTTGTATATATATATATATATAAAATGCCACATAAACAAACACATAAAATATTGTTCAAGGTTGATTCTTGAAACTGCTTGGTACTTAATTCTAACTGTTTTATAGTTCCCATTAGTGCTCTTGTTTCCTAGATGATTCTAATTGTGGTTACAAAATAAGCAGTAGCTGCCTACTAGCATGACACAGCCCCGTATCCTTATTTTGCCCTTTCAAGCTTCATGTAGTTAAAGTTGTTTTTTGTTTTGGGGGGTTTTTTTGTACTCAAAACCAGGATCTTAAATAATAGAGAAACTGGTTCCCAAGTCTGAACATTGCAAATTAAAATACAATCCTGTGTTAGTGGAGGTGGGTTGGAGAATAGTAAACTTCATTGGCAGCTAGGAAGCTGGCCATTTTTCTTACATGGTAACAAGGCCGTGTAAGGTAAACTCATCAGCTGTTGTGTTTTGGAACTCAAGGTGTTTGGCCAATGATAGCTGGAGCTTTGGGGGATGTGGTAGCAAAATGTTAGGTACTTGATTTTGGTTGGCTGATTCTTGTGGCATTCAGAGGCATTTTGGAGTTAACTGAAGTTCAAAGTTGCCTGGCCTGCCTGAAATTAGAAAAAGAAAGTAGCATGCATTTTTAACTTCGTTTAAAATGTTTTAGCCTAAATTATGGATATGAGACTAATGAAGATTCTACAATTATGCACTTTGTTAAACTGCAAGAGCTGAGTATCCTTGAGCGCCCCAGATTAAGTATCCTAAACCTTGGCCCCACATTAGAATCCCTGTGGACTCCACACTGGAGACTCTGATTAATTTATAGAGGGACTGAAGTGGAGTTGAGGCATTAGTACTTCTCAAAAATTTTCCAGAGAATTCTATTGTACCGATACGGTTTAGAGCAATTCTCAAAATGTAGTCTCTGAATTAGCAAAAAGCATCAGCCCTACGTGGAAGCTTGCTAGAAACGTAAATTTTCAGGCTCCAACCCTGACCTACTGCTCCTACCCCAAATCAGATTAAAAACATGAATCAATAATGTGTTTAAATAAGGGAAAATGAGACAGTAAAAGTATTATAAGGATAGCCTAAAAGCATTAAGGACCAACAGAACAAAATATTATATAAACAGAAGAAATACAAACATTTAAAAAGCTTTTAACTTTTTAAAGTGAAAGACTTAAGGGACTAGGTTTTTAAAACGTTTAGTGCATAACCAGTCACAAAGCGTAGCCAGGCTGAAAAGTTGACCCGCCAGTGTGGCATTGCTTGCAAAAGCTTCCTGGTAAGGCCTCCCGGAGGTCAAATGTGAACAATGAGCTAACTGAGGCCTCAGCCTGCAGCCCTCTGACTGGCCAGAGGAGAAAGCCATGCTTGTCATTTATGGTGTGACTCTCATCAACTTACCAAATCCTGTACCCTGTCTACAGGTGCGTCTCCACTGTGTGTAGAAGCTTCTTCTTTCCTTGATGGAGCTAGCCTTGGTGCCTTAGTGCCTCAAATCCTCTTAAGTCACACTGAGTTCAGTGGGCAGGGCGCTGAGTCTGTTAGCAGGACTTTAAGCCCCTGGGAAAAATGGACATTATACAAAGATGGTCAATGCTGTTTACTTACAGTGTAGATGGAAGAGGTTCTAGAGGTTTTACCAAAATCAGTGCATACATTGTTACCTGAGATAAAAATTATTTTACCTTGAATTGTGTTATTTATTCATTCATTCACCTGTTGTTTATTGACCACCTATTATGTACCAAGTATTAATTGAGCACCTGCTAGGCATCATGCTCAAGAAAAATAGTGGAAACCAGAAGAAATGCAAAGTTCCTTCATAGTACTTACAATCCAATGGAGGAAAACACACGCACACCCCCCACCCACCCACACTCGCTCACTCAAAAGTCTTTATCAGAGTGACAAGTTGTGATAAGTGCTTTGTGTAAGACACATAAGGGGCAGAGGACTGAGACCTGTGAGGAGGAGGGGAGTATTACTTGGAGCACAGTGGGGACATTGTGCAGGTGAAGTTAAAGGATGGCTGCTAGAGTAGGGTGTGAGGCAGGCGGGGGGAGAAAGCGGAGGAGACAAATTAGGGCATAAGAAATAGTGCCTGGTAGACCACCAAAGGCCTGTCTGGTGGGTCTAAGGAGTATTGGTGAGGTGGTGCTCCAACCGCAGCAGCCAGGTCCTGGTCCTGCCAAAGGGAATTCTGGGCAGAGGGCATCACAGACCAGTAGATGTCCCCCTGACCCTGGGGTCCCGGGAGGCTCCTCCCTGATCCTCCTGTCTGCCCTGCAGCGGCCCTAACTGTCAACTCAGCTAAGAGTCGAAGGAGAGGCTCTGCCTTACCTGTTTATGAGCACTATATGTAGCCAATAGTGTAAGCAGTTATTAATGACCGTATCCCTAATGAAAGATGTTTTGAAGTGAGTGGGAGAAAAGGCAGAATAAAAAATAGGACGACCATGTTATTTTAACCTTCAGTGTTCAACTATTTCATACTTTGAGAATTTGCTGAATATTTGTTTTTTATACATTTTAATATATTGGGTTGGCCAAAAAGTCTGTGTAGTTTTTTTTCCATAAGACAAAAGACGTTTTTCATTTTCACCAATAACTTTATTGATTTGGATATTTTAAAAATTATATTTTAGTGATGATGCAATTACAGGAGCCCCAATATTTCCCCCTTACTCCCCAGTAGCCCTATTTTCTTCGGTAATAAAGCACCCCGCTCTTGAATTCATGTCTGTGGTTCATGCATATAAGTTCTTTGGCTTATTAGATTTCCTATACTGTTATTAACACACCCCTGTCAGTTTTGTACCTACCGGTTTGTACTTCTTTTTTAAAAAAAGATTTTATTTATTTATTTTTAGAGAGGGGTAAGGGAGGGAGAAAGAGAGGGAGAGAAACATCAATGTGTGGTTGCCTCTCACGTGACCCCCACTGGGGTCTTTGCCCACAACCCAGGCATGAGCCCCGGCTGGGAATCGAACCAGGGACCCTTTGGTTCACAGGCCAGCATGTAATTCACTGAGCCATACCAGCCTGGGCAGCCAGGGGTCCTTCTTAATCCCTGTACCTTTCTCCCCATTCTCCCCCAGGCACATGCCTGGGTCGTGGGCCAGCTCCCCAGTAGGGGGTGAGTGAGGGGCAACCACACACTGACGTTTCTCTCCCTCTCTTTCTCCCTCCCTTCCCCCCTGTCTAAATAAACAAAGTATTTTTTTAAAGGGATAATCTGGATCCAGAGGCACATACATAAGGCTACCACCATGTGAACAGGAAGGCAGAGATCGGGGAGGTGCCTCTATAAGCCAAGGAATGCCAGAGGTTGCCAACACACCACCAGAAGCGAGGGGACAGGCCTGGAGCACATTCTTCCTCACAGCCCTCAGCCCTGCAATTCCCAGAAGGAACCGCCCAATTCCCAGATCTGGAAGACATCCAGCCTCCAGAGCTGCGGAGCAATGCATTTTTGTTGTTCAAGCTACTCAGTGCGGTGCTTTGTTACAGCAGCCCTGGGAGACTCTCAGAACCACCGATAGTTAAAAGCCTTCCATCATCCCTGATTCAAATGTTTTACCACGGTCTCCTCCCCTTAAACTCACTATCATTAGTGCTCAAACTCTTAATATTTCTTTAACACCAAGACCTTTAGTCCATTGATCCTATTACTTTCTCACTTTTCTTCACACCCTCGCCCATTCGAATCTATTTTCAACACAGCAGCCAACATGATCCTGTTTAAATTTAAGTGTAATCATGTTACACTTGTGTTCACTGTCCTGAGGCTTACAAAGTCCTTTAAGAACATCATCTGAATGGAATTTAAATCCTGAAAATAGGCTGGCCTATTTTTTTAAACAGCAGGGACCCTTATACTTGTCGGAATCTACCTAGTGTATGTAAATAAAGAAGGGGCAGTTGTGATTAGGAAAAAAAGGTCATGAGTAAATTGTGTCTCCTTTCGGCCACCCTGTTTTCCCATTCATGGTGTAGGGGAATTGGACCAGAACCAGAACTGCCTTGGCGGTGGTGGTTTTTCTTCTGCTTCTTCAGGTGGGTAAGGGTGTTGCTCTGGGTAGAGCTGGGGAGAAAACCTCCTCCTTAGCTCCTTTAGTTTGTTCTGGGAACATTTGGAACCCCGGAGTTCCCCTTATGACTACTTACTTTCAGAATTTATTTCCTAAAAACTTTAATTCCCGTCTGGGGGGCATCTGGAAGGTGAAACCAGCAAAGGGGCCCAGCCCCATCCATCGGAGGCCGGGCCTTAGCAGCCCGCAGGTGTCCTGACCTGCAGGGAGGGATCCCGGCATTGCTGGCTGGGGACCAGCGGGCCCACGCCCTGCTCTGCCCTTCAGAACTGAAACTGCCCGGCAAGTTAGTTTCATTTTACGAAGTGCCCTTTAAAATGAGGTGTTACTTCACATAGTCTCTGTCCAAGCTAGTTATGAAGGAAAGCCTTAAATGAAATATTTAAACTTTGGAGGGTTTAATCTTTAACTAGATGGAAACTTTTGATATCATCTTAAGTTATATAATAGGACGGAGAGTGGCATAGCTGGGCTTGGCTATGTTAGATTAGTTGCGTTTCCTTAAGAATTTGTAACAGTCATATTCCGGAAAACACCTCCAAGGAAGTAAAGATGTAGGCAGAACAGACGCAGTCCCTTCCCAGTTTTGCCTGAGGATGTAGTTTTTGGGAATCTGTTATATGAAAAAAATTATATCCCAGCAAATTAGTATGCAGTGGATTGGCCTGTTGCTACAGGAACGGTTTGTGGGACATGCTTTCCCCTTAACTTTGTACTATGAAAATTTTCAAACCTGCTGAAGATTGGGAAGAAAGGTGAAAGGAACATGTTTCACCTAGCACATCTCTTCCATTGTTAAATATTTTAATAAAATACGTAAACAACCACAAATATGTAGC